GATTGGTTTACCATGCACAATAACAATGCAGTTGGGTATTGGGAGTCTACAGAGTAAGGAGGCGGATTGCAAAAAGAATAGATAAACGAAGGGCTCACATTTATTAAAATCAATAACACTCAACGCATTTCGAAGCATGCATCTTCATCTCCTGAAGAGGGAGCAATGCATGCACTGAAAAGCATTGCAACATGGGAAAAATGATTCCCCTGTTGCTTTGGTGGGTAGTACCGTGACGCATCCAAGTGAATTGGGCCATGCCAAAACCACAGGCCAAATACTAGACTGGTAGTTGCTATGCAATATTTCTGTTTAAAAAGTCTCTATGGCATTTCCCCTTCTGAACGCCTGTACCATTCACTGAAAAGTGATCCTCTGCAGATTGCTTTTCAAAGATCAACGCAGGTGTGAATGACCCGCATGTGAGGAATTTAGATTTACAAAGTCCGCTTCCTAAATGATTTTAGATTCTATTTTTAGATAGATCTTTTTCTGAGGGTCCATTAATATTTATCTTATTTCTTTCCTCGCTCAGCTGGAAAATGGATTTCTCTCAGATGCCAGAGAAGACTGCCTTTTATATGCAGAACATAAACCTTCATAGATCTCACCATGATTGGACCCAATATCCCTTTTATATGCAGACTATAAGCTGTCAGACACCTTGCCTCCATGGACGCCATTTTTGCACCCCTCCTGTTCCCTGTCCCTTCCTGCTGCATGCATTTACCTTAATAAAAGAATAATAAATGAAAAGCATTGAAAAATACTGTGACTGCTGATTTTTTTTTTCTTAAAGAAAAATGAATGGTTATAGGGTGATCTTGTTCAAAATTAAAGAGATGCTAAACTCTGGTTTAAAAGCACATAAAGTACAGTTGTGTCCAAAATTATTCAACCCCCAATGCTGTAAAGGGGTTTAGGGACTATAGTGTACATTTGGAATTGTATTCAGAATCAAATCCTACAAGGACGTTGTAACTACCCAAATGCAACTAAAATGACATCAATTGTTTATGTAATACAGTAGTAAATGGTTCTTATGTGGTTTCTTCATTGCCACAATTATTCAACCCCTTAAAGACTACCACTCTGAAGAACAGAGGTTCATACAGGTGCTTTCCATCAGGTATTGAAAACACCTGTGGATGTCACCGAGCAGCAATCAAGCATAATAAGCACCAATTAGGCAGCTTTAAAATGACTGTGATACTCAGCTCCTTCTAGACATTTACTGGTGTGGTTACAAACATGGTGAAGGCAAGAGAATGGTCCAGGAAGACAAGAGAAGAGGTGATTTCTCTTCACAGGAAGGGCAATGGCTATAAGAAGATTGCAAAGATGTTAAACATACCAAGAGACACCTTAGGAAGCATCATTCGCAAATTCAAGGCAAAGGGCACTGTTGAAACGCTACCTGGTCGTGGCAGAAAGAAGATGCTGACTTCGACTGCTGTGCGCTACCTGAAGCGTAGAGTGGAGAGAAGTCCCCGTGTGACTGCTGAGGAACTGAGAAAAGATTTGTCAGATGTGGGTACAGAAGTTTCAGCCCAGACAATAAGACGCACACTGCGTAATGAAGGCCTCCGTGCCAGAACTCCCAGGCGTACCCCCTTGCTGTCTCCAAAGAATAAGAAGAGTCGACTGCAGTATGCCAAAAGCCATGTGGACAAACCACACAAAAGTTGTGGGATAGTGTTCTGTGGACTGATGAAACAAAATTAGAACTGTTTGGGCCCATGGATCAACGCTATGTTTGGAGGAGGAAGAACAAGGCCTATGATGAAAAGAACACCTTGCCTACTGTGAAGCATGGTGGAGGGTCAATCATGCTTTGGGGCTGTTTTGCTTCTGCAGGTACAGGGAAGCTTCAGCGTGTGCAAGGTACCATGAATTCTCTTCAGTACCAGGAGATATTGGATGGAAAAGCAGTCCGTCACACACCTGAGGCTTGGGAGACGTTGGACCTTTCAACAGGACAATGATCCCAAGCATACCTCCAAGTCCACTAGAGCATGGTTGCAGAGGAAAGGCTGGAACATTTTGGAGTGGCCATCGCAGTCACCAGACTTAAATCCGATTGAGAACCTCTGGTGGGACTTAAAGAAAGCAGTTGCAGTGCGCAAGCCTAAGAATGTGACTGAACTGGAGGCCTTTGCCCATGAAGAATGGGCGAAGATACCCGTAGATCGCTGCAAGACACTTGTGTCAAGCTATGCTTCACGTTTAAAAGCTGTTATAACTGTAAAGGATGCTGTACTAAGTACTAAGATTGAATGTCACTTGGGGGTTGAATAAAACTGATAATGCTGTGAGCACAGAAAAGACATTTGTGGTTATTTCATTATAACTGTTATGTTATATTTGTCTGACCTACAAGTGCCTCTTTAATGTAAATGTAAGCAAGATGACTGAATGATCAAAAGCAATGTCAAACTGGCCAAAACACTCAATTTCAGTGGGGGTTGAATAATTTTGGACACAACTGTATATATTCTTAACTCAAAAACATCTCTTCTATTGCTCTCAGCCTCCTCCAAATCTCCAAATTTTTTTCTGCTGCGATCCAACTTCATTTTAGAGGGTGGCTTCATTCATTCTCCATGGTCCCACTGTAAGTAGGAATGTAGCCACCCTATCTTGCTCCTGAGATGGACAATGGACTGGGGCAGGGCTCAAAATTTCCACTCGTTTAATCGCATGTGGCGAGTGGAAATCTGGTTGGAGTGAGTGTGTCCAGACTGCAGCAGATGAAATTGACAGAAGGATGATCAGTGCAGCTGTGGGGACAGTAACAAGCACCGATCTCCCTGTATAGCTTTCAATGAAGCAGCTGAAATCTGCGGGGGAGAGAGGAGAAGAAGCGGCTTCCAGCTGCTTCATTGAAAACCATACAGGGAGATTGGTGCTTGTTACTGTCCCCATTGCTGCACCTATCATTCCTGGCTCTCCATTGGATTTCCCTTTCCAGCCCCCCTATATGCTCCTCAGTGCTCAGCCCCTCACTCCATCCTCCACACCAATGGGAGAGAGGGAGAGGTTGGATCTGCTCTGCCTCCACCCACACTCCAGTCCTTGCAGCTTCTAAGGGGATGTGTGGGCAGGAAATTGTATACAGAACAGCTGGCAGCTCTGTGATGCTTCTGAGCGAGCCAGGGCCATCCATGTGAGTCCGACCTTCCTTCCTTCCCACCCTTCTCTCCTTTCCTTTCCTTTTTTTTCCTTCCTCTCCTCTCCCTTTTTCCTTCCTCTCCCTTTTTCCTTTCCCCTCCTCTCCCTTTTTCCTTCCCCTCCTCTCCCTTTTTCCTTCCCCTCCTTTCCCTTTTTCCTTCCTTAAAGGGGCACGTGATGAGGACACCTGATGAGCGTTTATTTAGTATTTATTTTTGTAACTTTATTCTGCATAAAACATTTAACAGTGTCATTTCATGAGATAATTTATGAAGGCATGTTTAGGGGTGGAATTAGGGTTCAGGGCAGGGTAGGGGTTGGGTGGGGCAACTAGTGGCAGGTAACTCTTAAGGCCTGGCTAGTAGCTCAGGACTTGAAATTCTGAGCCCTGCACTAGAGGATATGTAGTGTGTATAGACACATGACTTCAACTAGGTAGCTCATGGAGGACATTACAAGAAACCAGAAAAGTAGAGTAAGGAACAATTTGATAAAAAAAAGAATACAGAACCATTAACCTCCCTAGCGGTCTGATTATGTCAGTATTTCTGTGCTCAAAGCGGTAATTTTTTTTACATGGCAATATGTATTTTTGTTATTGTAGGCCTGTAATTTTTAGGAATAACTCACTGAAATCTGTCCGAACAAGAGTCTAGTAAACATCCCGGGTATGTTAAAATTTGAAACACGAAACCATAATTTCATAAATAATTATAAAAAATAATAATATAATAATAAAATGTAATTAAAAAATATAATCAAACCAAAAAAACACTGAAATTTGAAATATAGCGCCAAGTTCGTACATCACTGAGCAAAATCGTTTTCAGTGTCTGATGATGAATTTCCCCACGAATCATTATCACTCAATTCTGCAAGTGGTTCTAATTTACTATCGCTGTTCTCTAGCTGATCTAAAACTGCTTTTGACCTAAAGGGACGCTTTTTGGACACCATGGACGTTTCTCAGTTTCCAGGCAGAAAGAACAGTAAAAATGCATGCAGGGCACAGGACAAAGCACTCGGGACAAAATGTATGTGAAATGGTTTGATACAGTAATGTTTTACTATGTGATTTTAGTGAATTTAGTGAATGTAACTTTTACAACTTTCAAATTTCCTGCCAGTTCCGTCCCCCGTACATCCTGACGTTGCAGGGAACGGAATCCGGAAGACCGATGCCGTCATCGGCCGGAGGAGATGGCCGGGGATGCTGCAGGGGGGACATCGCGGGAGCGAAGGACAAGGTAAGTGAAGAAGAGATTCCGGAGCAACGCTGCAAGGTATTCCCGAGGTATTCCCGAGTGTAGCTCGGGGTTACCGCTTGTGGTGCTGAAACTTTACCCCGAGCTATACTCGGAAATACCTCCAGGGAGGTTAAGTAGTAGATGTGTACGGCTTTTTGTTTCTTGGAGAGTAAGGATATTGTTTAGCATCACTTAAGCAAAGAAAAGAGCATGCCCATAGAAGGCATTTAGGCTTTGCTAAACTATTATGGACACGTGACAGATTAAATCTCTTTATTATCTTCAGCAAAATAAATAAATAAATAAAAACGTGTTTCAGTTTTTTTTTTAATCTGTGCAGCCAATCCTTCTTATTTTTACCATTGTCCCCCATACTTTAGAATATCTGAAATGGACTCTGAAGGAAGCATCCATGTCTTTCCCTGTTGATGTTCAGAAAAAAATGCATTGTTAAAAATTCTGTATGTTTAGTAAGATAAATATGAACTATTACATATTATAATGTCATATTTACCCCTTCCAGCAAAGAGGGGGACAGTGTGAGCGGAAGTTCAGGATTTCAGATTGCTGTAAAGCCTTGTTCACGTAGCCTCCCTGGCGGTATTCCCGAGTGTAGCTCAGGGTAAAGTTTTCAGTACCAAAAGTGGTAACCCCGAGCTACACTCGGGAATACCCTGCAGCGCTGGTCACTTACCTTGTCCTGTGCTCCCGCGACGTCCCTCCTGCAGGGTCCCCGACAATGTAATCCGGCGGATGCCGGCATCTGTCATCTGGGTTCCGTTCCCTGCGAGCATCAGGACATACTGGGGACGGAACAGTGGGAAATTTGAAAATTACAAAAAGTGACATTCACTAAAATCACTAAAATCACATAGTAAAACATTACTGTATCAAACCATTTCACATACATTTTGTCCCGAGTGCTTTGTTTTGTGCCCTAAACACAGCCCTCACATAGGTGTGCCTAAACATGAAAAGCATGTTACACACACAAGGTAAGGATTCAGAAAGGGGCTTCCTCACAAGAGCCATCTAAGATCCTCCATCTGCAGGAACATTCAACACACACTATATTGCCAAAATTATTGGGCCCGCACTCCAAATCATTGGATTCAGGTGTTCCAATCACCTCCATGGCCACAGGTGCATAAATCAAGCCCCCGTGCAGACTGCTTCTACAAACATTTGTGAAAGAATGGGTCGCTCTCAGGAGCTCAGTGACTCCAAGCGTGGTCCCGTGATAGGTTGCCACCTGTGCAATAAGTCCATCCGGAACATTTCCTGGCTACTAAATATTCCATGGTCAACTGTTAGTGGGATTATAACAAAGCAAAGTGGAAGCAACTGAGAACAACAGCAACTCAGCCACCAAGTAGTAGGCCATGTAACATGACAGAGCGGGGTCAGCACATGCTGAAGCACACAGTGCGCAGAAGTCGCCAACTGTCTGCAGAGTCAATAGCTAAAGACCTCCAAACTTCTTGTGGCCTTCAGGTTAGCACAACAACAGTGCGTAGAGAGCTTCATGGAATTCATAAGGGGTGGGGGTATGATCTCTATGTATAAAACACAAGAAGTGGGGATATGATCTCCATGTATAATACATAAGGGGGGGATATGATCTCCATGTATAATACATAATGGGGGGGATATGATCTCCATGTATAATACATAAAGGGGGATATATTCTCCATGTATAATATATAAGGGGGGATATGATCAACATGTATAATATATAAGGGGGTATGATCACCATGTATAATACATAAGGGGGATATGATATCCATGTAAAATACATGGGGGGGATATGATCTCCATGTATAATACATAAGGGGGGATATGATCTCCATGTATAATACATAAGGGGGGATATGATCTCCATGTATAATACATAAGGGGGGATATGATCTCCATGTATAATACATAAGGGGGGATATAATCTCCATGTATAATAAATAAGGGGGATATGATCACCATGTATAATACATAAGGGGGATATGATCTCCATGTATAATACATAAGGGGGGGATATGATCTCCATGTATAATACATAAGGGGGGGATATGATCTCCATGTATAATAGATAAAGGGGGGGGTTATGATCTCCATGTATAATAAGGGGGGGATATGATCTCCACGTTTAATACATAAGGGGGAGGGATATGATCTCCCCGTATAATATATAAGGGGGCATATGAACACCACGTAAAATACATAAGGGGGATATGATCTCCATGTATAATACATAAGAAGGGGGGGGGGGTTTGATCTCCATGTATAATACATAAGGGGGGGATATGATCTCCATGTATAATACATAAGGGGGGATATGATTTCCATGTATAATACATAAGGGGGGAATATTATCTCCATGTATAATACATAAGGGGGGGGATATGATCTCCATGTATAATACATAAGGGGGGATATGATCTCCACGTATAATACATAAGGGGGAGGGATATGATCTCCACGTATAATATATAAGAGGGGATATGAACACCATGTAAAATACATAAGGGGGATATGATCTCCATGTATAATACATAAGGGGGGATATGATTTCCATGTATAATACATAAGGGGGGGTATGATCTCCATGTATAATACATAAGGGGGGGATATGATTTCCATGTATAATACATAAGGGGGGATATGATTTCCATGTATAATACATAAGGGGGGATATGATCTCCATGTATAATACATAAGGGGGATATGATTTCCATGTATAATACATAAGGGGGGATATGATTTCCATGTATAATACATAAGGGGGGATATGATCTCTGCAACATCTCCAAAATACGTCCGTTCCTAACCCCAGACACTACTAAGCAACTCGTTCACTCCCTTATTATCTCACGTCTGGACTACTGCAACTCCCTTCTCAACGGTCTACCCCAACACAGGCTATCCCCGCTTCAGTCTATCCTGAACTCAGCGGCCAGACTCATCCACCTTACCAACCGCTCCGTATACGCCACCCCCCTCTGTCATTCTCTCCACTGGCTTCCGATTGCCCAACGGATAAAATTCAAACTACTAACATTGACATACAAAGCTATTCATAACGCTGCCTCAAACTACCTCACCGACCTGATACCCAAATACCACCCAACCCGTACTCTTCGCTCCTCACAAGACCTCCTACTTTCTAGCTCCCTGGTCTCCTCCTCCCACGCTCGACTCCAGGACTTCCCCCATCCTCTGGAACTCACTACCCCAGCCCATCAGACACTCACCTACCCTCCTCACTTTTAGGCGCATCCTGAAAACCCATCTCTTCAGGAAAACCTACCCCACCCTCACCTAACAGTCGATCTCCTCCACTCCTCCTACCACTCCATCCCCCACAGCCACTTCCTCCTGTACCACTATCCCCTCCCTCCTAGATTGTAAGTTCGAAAGAGCAGGGCCCTCGAACCCCTCGTGTATTGTTTTGTTACTGTATTGTCACATGTACTGTCCCCCACTATAATGTACAGCGCTGAGCAAACCTTTTGGCGCTATATAAATACTGTATAATAATAATATGATCACCATGTATAATACATAAGGAGGGATATGATCTCCATGTATAATACATAAGGGGGGGGATATGATCTCCATGTATAATACATAAGGGGGGGGGGGGGGATATGATCTCCATGTATAATACATAAGGGGGGATATGATCTCCATGTATAATACATAAGGGGGATATGATCTTCATGTATAATACATAAGGGGGGATATGATCACAATGTATAATACATAAGGGGGGATATGATCTCCATGTATAATACATAAGGGGGGGGGATATGATCACAATGTATAATACATAAGGGGGGGATATGATCTCCATGTATAATACATAAGGGGGGGGGGATATGATCTCCATGTATAATACATAAGAAGGGGGGAAATATGATTTCCATGTATAATACATAAGGGGGGGGATATGATCTCCATGTATAATACATAAGGGGGGAAATGATTTCCATGTATAATACATAAGAGGGGATATGATTACCATGTATAATACATAAGGGGGGATATGATCAACTTGTATAATACATAAGGGTGGGATATGATCTCCATGTATAATACATAAGGGGGGATATGATCTCCATGTATAATACATAAGGGGGATATGATCTCCATGTATAATACATAAGGGGGATATGATCTCCATGTATAATACATAAGGGGGGGATATGATCACCATGTATAATACATAAGGGGTGATATGATCAACTTGTATAATACATAAGAAGGGGGGGGATTTGATCTCCATGTATAATACATAAGGGGGGATATGATCTCCATTTATAATACATAAGGGGGGGATATGATCTCCACGTATAATACATAAGGGGGGATATGATCTCCAACGTATAATATATACATAGGGGGGGGATATGATCATAGGGGGGGATATGATCACCATGTATAATACATAAGGGGGTTATGATCAATATGTATAAATACATCAGTGGTTTCATATAGTGAACTTGGTGTAGAGTTATTCACTTTCAAGTCAGTACAGAGGACAAGGGGACATTCCTTATGACTGGAGGAAAAGAGATTTAACCTTCACATACAGAAAGGCTTCTTCACAGTAAGAGCTGTGACTATGTGGAATAGACTCCCTAAAGAATTAGTTCTGACCAGCTCAGTAGATATATAGAGCTGGACGCATTCCTAAATAAGAAAAAAATATAACTGGGTATTAACATTTCTAGGTAATAATACCAAGGATAGTTGATCCAGGGAATATCCTATTGCCTCCTGGGCGATCAGAAAGGTTTTTTTTTTCCCTGCAGGAGAAAATTGTATCATGCTTTATTGTTTGTTTTTTTTTGCCTTCCTCTGGATCAACTATGAGTATAGGATTCTGTATATGGAGATTTTTTTTTTTAATTCATTAATTCCTTTGGTTGAGCTAGTTAACCTCTTCTGGTCCGGCCCATGTAGATAAACGGCCGGACGCTACCGATGCAGTGGGACGTTTTGAAATGTTCCCATGCGTTCATTACCTGTGCGCACTCCCTGGGAGCTCGATGCACCGCGATTGTTATACGGCACCTCTGTGCGAGGTACCGATTCATGTGATCACTGATTGGCCTATCAGTGATCACATGAATAGTAGTAAACAAGATGTCACTTCTGACATCATTGCTTACTACTAGTGAAATCTGGACATGATCACAGAGGTCACATGGTACAGGGCTATTCACAACAGCCTTGTACCATGTGACAAGCTGTGACCAATCAGCTCTCACAGTATTTCATCAAAGTGTGACAGCTCTAAAAGCGGAAAATTGGCTTGGACTGGAAGGGGCTGAAAGTGTCCGGACTGGAAGTGGTTAAACTTCTTTTTGTCAAGGTAACTATGGTGTCGTTTTATGAAAGAGAGAAAAGCCGAGGTCCTGATGATCACAGCTGATCTCTCAGGTGTGCCAGTTTATGAAGCTGAGGTGAGGAGCAGAGAACATTTTCTTCACTTCTCATCACAGGACACACCCTTCTGTCATCCACTCTCAGCCCGGGTTCACACTGATGCGGAACGGAATTTGCAGCGTTTCCTGTGCGAATTCCACACCGCATCAGAATTGCACCCGGTCATGTGAACTGCTGCAGGTGTGTATGTTAACAGCACCCCGAAATCGATTCACAAAACACGGTGCAATGTGCAGAATCAAATCAAATAGATGTAAATACCCATGCTGTCCAATTCTAGTGCAGACCAAAAAAAGGGTCCTGCACTTTTTGTGGTGCAGATGTGGTGCGATTTGAGCCATACAAAATCTATGCACAGAATTTGCATGTGATTTGCACAGGAATGCGATGCGGTTCCTGTGCGAATCACATGCGATTTGCCGCACTGCATATATAATATATACAGTATAGTTATAATATATTGTC